GCTTAAGGACTGAGCCACCCAGGTGCCCCAGTCTTTTAGTTCTATTTGGGCCTTCGACTGATTGGATGAGGCCCACATTACAGAGGGTCTGCTTACTCAAAGTCCACCAATTTAAATGTTAATCTCATCCCCAAATCCCCTCCAAGTTGACACATAAAATTCACTATCACAGTATCATATCAATTCCGGTAAAGCTGTTAACACTTTTAAATTCAATGTTTTCCCTAGAAGGTTCAGGTAAAAATCTTTCTTTGTAGTTCTGATTACCACAGGGTGAACTCTTTCACTGCTGTGTCTTTCTTAAGCTAAGTGTCTTCTTCTACTTCACCCTTAATTACTCTCTCAGTAAATACATTCCCTTTATTCTGGTCCTTCCACAAGAACACTACTGGATGCATATTGGCTCTCCCTTGACTATATCTTTCATGTCTAAAATCATCCACTCACCACAGACCTCTTGGAAACTCAGTTTTCGTATTGTGTCTTTGTTTCCAGGATGTTCACAGGGAACCAAAACCCAGACGACCAAACCCCAGAGGAGCAGGTTTTCTATGAGTTTATTTTTAGGCTCTTCAAAGAGAATAAGGTGGAGATTGCGAGTGCGATAAATAAGCCATTTCCTCTCCTTATGGGCCTCCGAGACCGTGGCTTTATCTCCGAGCACAAGTATCAAGTAAGTGAGGAGATTTCCTTATGATACCCAGCTCCACCAATGTTATGCCAGACTGCAGGGTGTAATGAATCGGCCCAGAGGCCTTCTGTGGGTGGAGACCGCCACCATCCTATAAGTTAGGAGGTGACGGGAGAAACAGCATCACAGAAAACATTCCTTCTTCTGTAGGAAATGTGGGGGGAAGGGCATGGCAGTGGAGATGTAGCTGGATAGGGACTGGGGTTGCTGCGTAGCTACGGTGCATCTTAGGTACATTTATACAGTCGGGTAACAGTAACTAAAGGCAAATGAATGAACTGGGCAATGTTTCATCACAAAGCCTTCTTCTTTGACACACCTGAACCTGAGATGATTGAAACCCACAGGCAAGTTGGGTCACGTTAGGATAAATCCGGAGGCAAATGCTTGCTGCTCTCTGTCCAAATCATTTCTTGCTCCTTAGACATTTCTGGAGCCCTAGAACACAGTGAAGGTTAATGATGGGTCTTCCTGGGGACACTGAAGACAAGCCTTCTCTTTGTCTTTATGAATTTTCTTTGCCCTTTGGCCACGTTCATTGCAGGGGAGAGTGGTCACCTGAATTCCTGGAGCGCTTCAGGCCAGGTCAGTCCTGGGGGGAGGGCAGTGGTTACTCTCCGGCCAACAGAATGGCCTCTCATTACCAGTCAGGGCCACTCTTGAAGCATCCCTGCCAGGCTCTTAAAGCCTCCACAATCATTTGACTTTGAAGCCACATTTATTCTTCAAAATTCCTCCCTCAAGTGTGTATCAATGTCAGAGAGGTTCAAATAAGAGTCTATTTTTGTGACGGAGGATATTTAAGAAGTCATCCAAACGTGCGACATTCTAACATTTCACAAGAGAACAGATGGTCTGGGTTATGATCTGCATCTTCTATAACCTGTAAATCCATAGCTACATAATTCTCCATTCACTATTTTTAAGCATTTTCAAGAAGCTTGTAGAAATCATGTCCCAGTGGAAAGAGTGGTCTATGATGTGCTCAGTGAACTGGAGAAGACATTTGACAAGACAGTTCTGGATGTACTGTTCAGCAATCTTAACCTAAAGGCCTATCCTGACTTACTTGAGATTTGCAGAAGCTTCCAAAATGGTAATTATAGCTTTCAACAACTTTGGGGGACTCAAGCCCATCTTATTCATCGATTCATTCATTCAATCTTCATTAATATTTGACAGTCATTTTATTGAGCGACTGCTCCACGGCAGGCAGGGACAGAACACAGTGGCGAAGAAAATGCACATGACCCGTGTCCTCATGGAACTTACAACCTGTGGGGGTGACAGACATTTAGCTGAGTAACCCCACAAATGATTGCTTGGCCAGGACCTGAATTTGGTGCTGAGAAATGTAGGATTTGAGTCTCTACTTTTTTTGGGGTGGGAGGAAGGCATGAATTATGTGCTTTCGTAGGAAAGGGGAGGAAGCCTCTCTGTTACCTGTAGTCATGTTCAAAGATTAAAAGGTTTTCTTTATCTTAGAAAATGTGTCATTTGGTGCAGTTGGCGCCAACTCACTTCTCCAGACAAGCAGTGGAGAAGTCACTAGAGAGGACTGGGGCAGTGGCAGCTGGGAAAGGACCAGTGGGCTGGCAGAAAAGTGTGGCTGAAAATACAGACTGGGAGGCAGTGTTTGGAAGCTAAGTCTGGGAAGGGAAGTTCATGGGGAGTTTTGAGGGTCTGACACCCAGTGCCAAGAAATTTGAAGTTTACTATTTGGGAAATAAGAAGGTAATGAAGGATTTTTAAGCAGAGTAAAAGTGAAAGAAGTCAATGTAAAGAATGGGATGTGCTGATTTGTGAAAACCATACCTTGATTAAAAGAAAAGCTATAATATTTCCACGCTATGATATATCCAAGTCAGAAAAAGGAATAAAGGAAATCAAATACCAATCATAAATTTTAAGTCAGTATTATATGTGGAACCAGGATGGCCCAAGGTCATGGGTATGAAGAAATGGAAGTTATCATTACTGCCCACATCTCAGAGGCTCTAATCCTCTCCATGGACTGTGGGGATCCCCTTCCTTGGACCCCAGCACCCACACCACATGTGTTAGTTTCTGGGGCTCCCCATGCTGAGGCTCACCGCACCCCCCAACACCAGCTGGGAGGTTGTTGCTGGTGCTTCCTAGACCCCGCTGTCCAAGGGAGCCAGGGGTCAGTGATCCAAAGCCAAGAAGCTGGTAGGAGGGTTGTGCAGCCTGCCGAGAGACACATGCACTTGGGCCACCCCCTGTGTTCTCAAGACCTCTGACTCACACAGCATTTATCCCCATGTCCTCCTCCAGAGTTTGCCTGGACAAGAAGTCAGTGTGTCCTGGGGATGGCAGAAGCATCTCTTGTGCCAAAAGAGCCTTTCTACCTTCACACCTCCCCTACTGTCCTCACCCTTCAGTAGGTGCTGCCTCTGGGAGGTGTGATCCCGTCATCTGTCTTTCTTGGCCAGCGTCTTTCTCTATTTCTTGGATTTTTTTTCCCTCATGTTTTGTGAGTCTTGCTTTTCCATCTATCTTCAGTTGCATTGCCTTACAACACAGCTGCGAAGCGGGGTGCCCTGGGCTGCTTTCCTGCACTTCTTGTTACCACTTCCTGGGTCCCCGGTACAGCTATGATATTCACTTTCGGTTGGGTCTTTCAAACAATATTCACTTCCTGTTTGCGCCTTACAGAGTGTCTTTTTGTTGTTGTTCCCTGTATCTCTCCCCACCCATCCCACCCCAGGGAAATGCTAGTTCCTCTTCACTGTTAGGTTTTTTGTAAACAGATCATCTTCCTTCCCTGATCTAAGGTCCCCTTCCTCCCTCCCTCCTTCCTTCTCTCTTTCCTCTTTTTCTCTCTTTCTCTCTCTTTCTTTTTCTCTTTCTTCTCTCTCTCTTGATTTTTTGCTTCTCTGTTTATTTCCTTTAAAACCTCCATCCTTAAAAGATGGTGGAGCTCTCTTTTTTTTTATATAGGTCTATTTCTCTATAAACTTACTTTTCTCCTGATGAAATCCCTCTGCTTCTTCTCTATTCCTAGTTGCATGTAGAATTTACAAAATACATTCCATATATATTACTTATTTTAAATTAGCTTTCATTGTTCTAAAGAGTTCATTGAACTATTTACAACTTTTCTACCATCCATCCTTTCTTAGACCTTGTGAGATGTATGGCAGCATCAGTCTCTGGTCCCCTGAGACCCACTGAAGCCCAGGGTTCCCTGAGGGCTGGAAGGCTCCCGCTCAACTGCCGGAGTCAGGGGTGAGCCAGGTATATAGTTGTGAGAACAAGCTCCTGGTCACCGCCAGGGGTCTCTAACTGCCTTTCCTTCCTCTTCCCAGTGATTTATGACAACTTCCATCATGAAGCCATTGATGAAGAGACAAAGGAGATGCTCCACCCACAAATACCCCATGAGCTAGGTACTTGTGACTCCATAGAGACTTGTTCTCTCATCTGCTGAGAGGAAAGGGGAGGAGAGATCAGGGGGGCCGAGCTCCTGGGTGGAGAGTGCCCCGTGGGGAGGGGTGCAGAAGGAGACAGTGGAGATGCAGGGGGGAGCCAGGCCAGTGGTGGGTTGTATGGGATCCTAACTAACCAACCAGTTGTGGAATCCAAAAATGCTGTCAGGCAGATAGGACCACTCAGAAGATAGAACAGGAACCCACAAGAGCAGGTATTACTGTGACCATGAGGCACAATTAAGGGGAAGAGCTGACAGTAGTAATTGTGAGTTAGGAATTCAGTGGATCTGGGAAGGGATGAGGTTTGGCACCAGGTGGCAGACCCAAAGAGAAAGCCAAGAAGGAACTGCTGTAAATGCTTCCCATAATAAGAGAAAAGAGAGGGAGCTAGAGTAGTAATTGTGTGCAGAAGAGAACATGGAAGGAGTGGCGCTGGGTAGAAAAGAAAGAGAGGGGTGCCAAGGTGGCTCAGTCGGTTAAGCATCTGACTCTTGATCTCAGCTCAGGTCTTGATCTCAGGGTCGTGAGTTCAAGCCCCGCATTGGGCTCCATGCTAGGCATGGAGCCTACTTAAAAAAAAGAGAGAGAGAGAGGAAGACGGAAAAGAGTGTAAGGGGGAGAAGAGAATAAAGGGCAGTAATCGCTTAACAGTGACAACAGTAGCAACACCAACCTTTCTCAGACCGCTGGGTGTAAGGTCAGCCCTTCCCGTGAAGCAACTTTTCTATTGCTCACAAATGAACTATGTACCCTCGTTACCAATAGCCACTGTTTCCAGCTTTTCAATCATCCTTTTGCTCATATTATTACTAATAACTGATCATTGAATTATAATGCCTACAGCATTAATACCGAAAATTATGATTTCTTGCTAAGTTATTCTAACCCAGATATCCTTTTACAAGTACTCCTCATTATAACCCTATTATAAGGGTTTGTTATTCCCACTTTCCAAGGGAAGAAATGGAGGCATAAGGATAGTTAGTGATTTGTGCATGGTCACATGACTGGTCTAGGACTCGAACCTTCTCCCACACACAAGTTAAGGGCAAACATGCTGAGACCTCACTGCCCGGCTTCACATCTGGCTCTACCTCTTGCTTACTTGGGCAACTTACTTACTTTCTGTGTTCCAGTGTATAAACTGAAACTGTCAATCTCTATGTCTATAAATCTATATATCTAAAATAAGGTTGTTGTGAGTGTTGTTCAAGAGTCCGATGTACACTGAGCAAAAGAAGCCAATCACAAGAGTACATGCTGTGTGACCCTATTTATGTGAGCGTCAGGACAGATGAGTACAGTTCCAGAAAGGAAGGGCTTAATTAATGGTGATAAACATCAGAAGAGTGGTCGCTTACAGTGGGCAGAAACAGACTTGAAATCAGCACATGAGAACTCTCTGGCGTGGTGGAAATGTTCCAAGTGTTGAAAATGTCTAGTAAGCACCACTGCTTCGTTGGGAACACAGCTGTTTTCCATTTCAGTTAGGTGCATCAGAATGAGAAAGAGGTGGGCAAGGCTTTGGTGAGCCCCAGGTGGGGTCCTTGGAGCTTGAACAGCAAAGTTCAGATTCAGCACACAGAGGTCTCTTCTCTGGTCACTGTCTGAGTCCTGCTATTTTCTTGTCCCCTTTTCAGAGTCCTGTGAACCCTCACCTCTCCGAATAAATAATGTCAGAACCTTGGAAGAGACACCCAGCTTACTGCCTAATGAGGGACCAGGTAACTATCATTCAACTTACAATTCTGTATCAAATCTTTGTTTTCTTGTCTTTGCGGGAGTAAAGCCTGCATTTTGTCTCTGATCCCAGGCCTCTGCTAGTCCTTCCTTCTATCTGCCCTTACCTGCCCACAGATGTGACAGAGACTATGAGAAAAAGAGTCCGAGCTCCTCAGTAGAGAGAGTACTCATTGATGGAGAATATAGAAAGAGAAAGAGGAAAAGATAGCTAGGGGTAATATAGGACAAATCACACAAATGGATCCAGTTTTCCAAAAGGAACATAAACTCCTACCCTCAAGGGTGGGGAAGGGGAACAATTTTCAGTTAACTTCAGAGACCAGTTGAAAGGAATTTGGAGGTAGCATGCCATGTGTGTCCATGTGGGAGACTGTCCCCCCGTAGCTGACCAGTGGGAGGTCCCTGGTACTGTAGGCAAAGCCCCGAGTGCTGGAGACAGTGAGAGAGGGGAATCAGGAGGACACCAGAGCTCAGAGAGACAGAAGATCAAGGTAAAGTGGGAGAAACAGTGATGGACAGGGAAGAAGTGGGACATGTAGCAGAGAGGAGATAAACTGAAAAATGGCTCAAGGATCAGAGGTAAAAATTGAGAGAAAAATATACAGAAAAAGCAATATGGAGTGGAAAATAAATACTAGGATGTGGGGAAAGCCAGGGAGGTGCAAAGGCAAACTACGGAGAGAAGCAGAATAGATGGAAACTAGGGGAAGGGCAAATGGGGGACAAGGGGGAGAGGAACAGGTTGGGACGCTGCAGGTTCGGGGCCAGAGCACTGGATAGAAGCACCTTTGGGCACAAAGGCTGACAACATTAGGTGTGAGTTTCCATATGAAACTGTCCCTAGTTATCAAAGTGGCACTTACAAAATGTCAGATTGCAATAGGTCTCTCCCCGAGTATTCCAGTGATTCCCAAGACCAAATCTCCACCCCAGATCATCTTCAGAGCTCATTTATCCATGGACCTGAAGGCAGGGGTTGGATAGAAAACTACACTGGAGTTCTTTCAAGAGCCTTAACCTTGGCACACCCCGAACTGAGAGCATTGTTCATTCTTCATTGTTCAAGCTAGATCTAACCCCTCAGTGTTCTTTCCCTCAATGATAGATCACTGTTCATCCGTGTTTTTTTCAAGCTGGAAACGTAGAAGTTGCCCATGATTCCTCTGGCCTTCAATTACATGCCTGTCACTCCTCCAACATGGTCATTTCTCCTTCAGAATATCTCCCACCTGTCCATCTGTCCTGTCCCCAGAGCCGAGTCTCTAATCCATGTCTCTGTCACTATCATGGTTCTCAGAGGACGCCTTCTGCCTCCCTCCTCCCTCTAAACTTACTCCCATTAAGTGCATTATTTGCACTTCAATTAAAGGGGACATTTGAAAATAAAAATTAGATTGTATTATTTTCCTACTTAGGAACAATAAGAAGTATTTCCTACTTCTTAATATACCAAGGATTACATTAAAGTTTCTTTCAGTGGGGCCCAGGGTGGTCCCCACAATGGGCCACCTGCCTACTTCCTCAGCCTCATCACCTGCCTGCTACACTATTACTTCAAGATAGAAGAGACTCTCTTCCCCAATGATTTTAATTGTTAAATATCTCCTTCACATCATGTGCCTTATTTAGTACTGTCTTTCTGTTCCACTGCCCTCTGCTTTCCTTCCTCCATTCTGGTTAAATCTTATTTAACACAAACCACCTCGGGGAGGCCTTTCTTTAGAGAAAGCTAGACAGGAATAACTGAGAGACAAAGGATAGGAGAGAAAGAGCAGTATCAGGGAAAACAAGGGGGAAAGTCACAGGAACCGGAGAACAAGAAAGAAACACACCAAGAGAAAGAGAAGCTCCGAGAGACAACAGCAGAAACTGAGGCAGGGAGAAATTAGATTTACAGAATCTAATAGAAAAGGGAAGAATAGAAAAAGGATGATGTGTAAGTAAGAAGAGGAAGATTTTTGCATGATGGGTGAATTATTCTTAGCCTCTAGTGAAAGCTACTGAAGTGAATATAACCTCAGGTCAGGTTGTCTTGGGGAATGGGGCATTCCAGTTTCTCAGGCTTTCTTGGTTTTTCTCATTTTCTTGCTATGCTATTTCCTTGGTCATAAATTGAGATGTCTGCGAGATTTCATTCCTTTCTGTGGAGGATAGCAAGGCCTGTTGGGAGACCAGTGATGATGAAGAGCCTCAGGAAGCCTGTGCTCCCCACCAAGATGTGGGCCCAGCAAAGAAGGGGGGAGGTTGCCAGTGTTGAGCTGCAGGATATCAGGCAGCTGAATTTCAAGCTGGCGTTTCCTGATGCATTTTACTCTGAGCACACACCACAGTGAAAAGATTCAGTGTGTTCTGGAATCCCATGAATCACATAAATGTTTCCAAGTGTACATTTGGGGAGAGATATGCTGAAGAAGGGGGATGTCTTTCATACCTATTCATAGTAAAGACTTGGATTTATCCCCACTGACCCTTTAGCTTCTCCAGAGAATAAAAACTAAGCATTATCCTAATTATTGATAATGTTATTATTTTGTGTCTAATTTTGGAAAAAGCCCAAGAGAAACATGGTCGCCCTTCAGATCAACTGCTCTCCACTCTAAATTATAATTTTTGTCAAATGGTTTTTATTATGTTACTGGGATTTGTCAAAAATTTTGGCAAAGAAGATGTCATTTCATCTCCACAAACTTATGCATTTAGAGAGACAAACTGTTGCTTCTTCCTATTTTATAGATAAAGAAATAGAAGCACTTTTACCAGGTCAAAGTAGTTACATAAGGGGAGGGACTGTGGTGATGGTCGTGTGGGGCTGGCAGAGGGTCACGGTGGCCAGGATCACAGAGGCAGAGTTCACACCGGGGAACCCAAGAGGTGTTCAAGTACCCAGGCCAGTAGATCAGGGCCCAGTGCAAGAAGGCCCTCATCCAACAAATATATTTCAGTAGTGAGAACAGGGAAAGGCAGAAAGAGCTGGTAGGATTGGGACTTACCATGTGGAATGCAAGAGATCTGAGGCAGGAAGTAGGAAAACTGACAGAGAGCGAGGAAGAGCCATGAAGAAGAAAAAGCCCAAGAGGGAAGCCCAGGGATTCATGGAGATGTCCAGTCCTTCCTGGTATAGAAGCAACAGTGTGTGGTGACAGAACAATGAGATGGAGAAAGGAGGTGTGTGAAGGATAACAGAAGAAGAAGAGACAGAGGGAGGCTCTGGTAGGTCTTAGGCGAGGTCCTTTTTCTTTTTTTTTAAAGATTTTATTTATTTATTTATTTATTTGAGAGAGAGAATGAGAGAGAGAGAGCAGGAGAGGGGGGAGGGTCAGAGGGAGAAGCAGACTCCCTGCAGAGCAGGGAGCCCGATGTGGGACTCGATCCTGGGACTCCAGGATCATGACCTGAGCCGAAGGTAGTCGCTTAACCAACTGAGCCACCCAGGCGCCCCGTGGTCCTTTTTCCCAAGGAGAAGCTCACCTGAGCACTGAATTCAGCCTGAGGTTCCTGAGGCCTATTCCCTTATTGCTATGTCTGGTTGGTCATTTCTGCATTTCCCTTCAGTTTCCTGTGAGCACAAAGCTCTCCAAAGGACGAATGGAGGCGATTTTGAAGAGATACCTGAGCTGCTACCAGGCGATGGGGGAGGTAATTATGATTTAAATGACCAATTACTTCATTAAATTTGTTTGTCTGACTGTATGCAAAGGACATTTTCTTCCCATCCCCCAAACACAAATACACACTTTGTCTCAGCCTCTGGTTGCTTCCCTCAGGTGTGTGGGAGGCAGGGGGGAAGGGAGGCTAAGCACCTTAATGGAAGGGCTCTAGGGTGAAGAACTGAAGGGCACAGAATAATAAGAATGTAGACTGGGGGCACCAATGGAGTTGGCTAAGTAGGCCCAATTTTATCTAAATGTATATGGACTATAACACTACCAGGTTGGGGTTTGGGAGGGGAGAGATAATCTTAAACTTACTTCCCACGGATTGCATAGGATTAATGAAATACTAAGTATAGCAGAGAGAAAGTGAGGTAAGGGAATAAATAGGGAGATAATGGAGCAAAGAGATGAAGAACTTCCAGGAGGAGCAAAAAGAGCGAAATGCAAACAAATGGCAGAAGTCAGGGAGAGCAAGTCATGGTCAAAGAGACCCACAGCTTCATGGTGCAGGTGCAGCAATGTGTGGAGACAGGGTTCGAGGGAGAAGAAGGAAGGAGAGAGAAGGAAACAAGGTGCTAAAAAAAAGCGGAGCGAGTTCGGTGGGTATAAACATACTTTTCTTCCTGAGGAGCAGTTCTCCTGTACTCTGAACATCAAGCTCCAATGCTCTCTGAGCGTTGGCCACATCCAGGCAGAGTCCAGGCCAACTGTCTATCATGTTCCTGTTTCTCTCCTCAGTGTCCTGCGAACAGGTAGTTCTACAAAGGGACGACGGAGAAGAATCAGAAGAAATGCCCAGATTACTACCTTATGATAGAGAAGGTAATTAGGATTTAAATGACCTGTTATCTAACTAAAACTTTATTTTCCTATGGATATAGAGGGACACCTTCTTCCATCTCTTCCCTATTCCCCTTCCATCCATCCATCCATCCATCCATCCATCCTTCCTTCCTTCCATCCATCCATACATCCATCCTCACATATTCACATAGACAAACTATGCCCAGCTTCTGATTGCTTCCCTTGAGAGACACAAGCAGTGAAGGATGATCTCAGACTGGTTGAGTTTTCCCTGGGTATAGAACACAGACAAAGAGAAGAATGAAAAATATAGATGCAGTCATGAAATGAAGAAACACCAAGGTGATTGACAATTCTACTTAAATAGACATGGAGTCTAAATACAGCCATGTTATCAGGGAGGGGAGATAATTTCCAACCTATTTTCCCTGAGGTTGTGCCAGGAACATGGGCATAATGGGTATAATTGCAACACAGAGAACTCACGTGAAAGAGTTTTGAAATGGACCTGGCAAAGGGAAGGATCCTTGCTCATTTGCCAATGGCCACAGTCCAGAACATTGATGATATGGGGAAGGAATATGGATGTGGATGAAATACACAGAAAGTCTGAAATTTAAATTTTCAGTTTTAATTCTTAGGTTGAAAAATTAGAAACAGAAAGTTAAGAACCAGAGAGAACAGATAGAAGCAGGGAAATGAGCACCATGGAAGAAAGGAGATAAGCTCCATCATCTTAGACAGGTAGAGAACATGATGTTAAGAGAGAAATGCAGGGTGGAGTGGGGCGGGGGGGGGACACTAAGAAAAAAAGGTGGGGGGGGCACAAAAGTTATACGTCGAGAAAAAAAAGATGAGTGAAAATTCAGCAGAGATGAACACTGTACAAAGGATAGAGAAGACAGTTTGGGGCATTGTAGGAATTGAGAGAAGAGTTGTTCGTCAGAAACAAGTCTGCCACTAGGAGTGGAACATGTTAGTCATGGGTTTTCAAGTTATCATGTCCCCAGTTATCAACATGGTACCTGTAATATTCTCAGAGGCAGTGGGCCTCCCCACCAGGCATCCTTGTCTGCTCCCACCTATAACTTATGACCCCCAAGCACCTGTCTGGCCCAGACTTGTCTTCTAACCTCATTCATCTGAGCGCCCGAATACAGTTGTGCAGAGGGCCTAAAGGACAACTCCATTTGGATGTTTTTCAGGAACCTAAATATAAGATACCTACAATTGCACATACCATGTTTCCTGACACCAGATCTGCTCCTTTCCCCGTATTCCCTATCTCAGTACAGAACACCATTGTTCCATTCCTCAGGCAGAAATTTAGGGGTCATCATGACTCATCCCCCTCCCTCAACTCACATAGCCCATCAGTCATCCAGATTAGTCAGCTATATATCGAACTTGTCTCTTGCCTGTCCATTCTTCTCCATACCCAACACAAACACTCTGGTCAGATGTCTCTTCTCTCTGGAACCAGAGCAACAGCCTCCAGTCTCATATCTTTCCCCCAGTCATGTTCCCATCACACCCAATCTCTCCAGGTCAACTAGAGGACTCTGAAAATGCAGGTTGGTTTATCCTACTTTCCTATTTTAAGTTGATAACTTCTTGTTGTCAGAAGGATTAAATCCACTTTCTTCCCCATGGCTCCAGCCTCATGTCTGTCCTGCAATTACTTCAAAAATTTGAATAAAATTTGTTCAGTAATTTTAATTATCTGATTACTCTTTCTCACCTGAGCTTTGGCACTGTTTTCTTGCCCACTTGCTCACTAATCTGGTGAAATCATGCGGATATTAGATACCATCTCAGAGATGCCTTTTCTGACCCCTAGAAAACAAGATAAGAGTCGGGGAGAAGAAATAAAGCAGAGCAGCAGGGAAGCATAAGGGGAAAAAAAGGAGGCGGGAACAGACATGGGGAAACAAACAAAGACAAAGAGGAGTGTCAAGAGATCCCAAGAGCGAGATACAAAGGTAGAAATGAAAGAGGCAGACACATTTGGGAAGGGTGAAAATGAGAAAGAGAACAAAGTGTGGGAGACAAGGTGTGCAAGGTTTCTGACAGTCTCCATCAGATTATTGGGTTGTGGGAGACTTCCTTTTATCTTCGAAAACCTTAAGATACAGGCATGCAAACTGTTGTAACCTCTTTTGTGGATGGGGAAACAAAGCACAGAAAGGCATGCAGGTTATTTTTGCAGGGGCAAAGCAGAAAAGGCAGAGTGGGCAGCAGTGGGTGTGTCACTGAGGGAATAGTTGTGTGAAGCCACCTGGCAGTCAGGGCAGGGTCCTGTGGTCAGACACAAAGAGGAAGCCCCAGGAGCCCACACGTTCCCAAAGAAGTGCACCTGGGTCCAACATAAGACCTTCATTAAAAGAAAAACTAAGTTGTTAATTTTAGCTATTCTGACTGGTGTGAGGTGGTATCTCATTGTGGTTTTGATTTGTATTTCCCTGTTGCTGAGTGATGTTGAGCATTTGTTCATGAGTCATTGGCCATTTGTATGTCTTCTTTGGAGAAATGTCTAACTATGTGATGGGCATTAAGGAGGGCACTTGAAGTAATGAGCACTGGGTGTTGTATGCAACTGATGAATCACTAAATTCTACCTCTGAAACTAATAATATAGTATATGTTAATTAAATTGAATTTAAATAAAAATTTTTTAAGAAGAGAAAAAAGAAAAACTGGGCATGGGTTTCCAAATGTTTCAAGTATTTGACAACATTCTCAAGGGCCTGTGAACAGAAGAGTACTTTTTTTTTTTTTAAGATTTTTTATTTATTTGACAGAGAGAGACACAGTGAGAGAAGGAACACAAGCAGAGGGAGTGGGTAAGGGAGAAGCAGGCTTCCCGCCGAGCAGGGAGCCCGATGCGGGGCTCGATCCCAGGACCCTGAGATCATGACCTGAGCCGAAGGCAGACGC